GGGTCCGAGTCCCGCGGGCCCGGGTCCTGGGTGGCGTGTGTGCACGCGCCGCCTCTTTCAAGGGTGAGCAGGAAAAGGACGCGCGCTGCCGCGGCGGTTGCCGCCACCTCCGAGCGGTGGGAGCGGGGCTGAGATGCTGTGCCCGCGTCCGGGCCGGCCGGCCTGGCATCGCGGTGAAGTGTCTCCGTGAGAAAGTGGGTGTGTGCAGACACAGCCCTGAGCTCCTGGAAACTTTGGGGGGTCCCGGCTGGAACTTGCGGGTTATTTATGTGGATGCTGAAGCCGGGGACACACAGTGCGCGTGCGTGCGCCCGAGTCGCGCGCCCTTTGAAAGTCCTGGGTTTGTAAAGCAGCCTGGAATGAAAAGGTGGTTCTCCAGCTTTCTTTCCTCCGCCTCACTCAGTTGGTGACACTTTATTATCCCCGCAACTCTACTTCCTTGAAGCGTGGCGGGGGTGGGGTGGTGGAAGGATTTTTACAAGCGGGATGTTATAAAATAATCCGGACAATGAAACTTTGTTTCTTCCATCGTTATAGGCTGTGGAATATTGTAAACCAAATGTTTGCAGATTAAAAAACAAAACAAACAAACAAACTCCGAAATGCTCAAAATGTAGCATTTCTGTTGAGAGGTGCCTTGTCTTCGTTAAGACGTTTTCGTATTCAAAACCACCTTCCATTCATTATAGGGTTATGTTTTTGGATTCTCAGCTAGGGATAAAAATTTTAAAACAACAAACACCTTGGGTGCATAACCAAGAGGATGCTCCTTTGCAGATGATTAGCATAAGGAGATTAGCCTTACACAACACACCCTTAGGATTTTTAGATGGAAGCGACTTATAAGACTTTTTTTTTTTTTTAATAGCTGTCTTACCCCCAAACCACCACACCTAAGCAATCAATGTATTCTTGCAAATTTGGGGAAAAGACTTTGCCTTTTGCTTGTGCCAGAAATAGTCTTTTGCAGTGACTGGAGCCGGGAAATGATGCTTAATAGTTTTTTTGCAATGAAGTTCTTATGTGGGTAAGATGAGTAAGGGATGTGGGGAAGTTGGAGCAGCTGTGTTCTCCCTTCCTTGACCTTCACCCTAGTACAGAACTGAGGACGGCTTGATTGATGCCTTCATGATACATTTTGTTTGGTCACCTCTGTTTTCACCACTTTTAATGGCTCTGTACCCAGAAAGAGTAATGGGCCCTTGCTAACGTTAATTTCGGGATGGAGCCCAGATCATGCTGGCCTCTGTAAAGTTATTGTTAGTATGTCTGGCTTTTAAGTCTTGTTTATGGATTATTTACACTGAGTATTCTGTTTTGTATGCTGACTTGAAAACAGTGCAGGAAATGAGCATTACAAAGCTTACTTACGGTGCTCTTCTTATCAAGTATATTTTTCTAGTTTATGCGTTGTTGATGGTTCATTTTACCATGGGCAAAATAAATGAAGCTCAGATTCCTCTTGCAGTATTCCAAAATGGAAAAGGTAGGGTATGGATTTAATTGCAGAACTTTATTTCAGATTTTAAAGCTTACTGTGCTATTAAAAGAGATTGAAAGAAGAAAAGGTTACTTTTAAATTGTAATTGTTTTAGAATATATATTAGATATGTTTCTAACAATATGTCATAAAGGGCTGTTTATTATTAAGAGAACAATTACATTCTGTGTAGAATATAATAGAACAGTAAAAAAATTACTGCTTTTTACTTTTGCCTTTATATGTAATCCTAAGAAAGCTTAGACATGAAATATTTCAAGTGGTCAGGCAAGAATTAGCCATTGTCAGTAAAGCAGTAGGATAGAAGTCCAGTTCACCAGAACAGCTCCTTATCATGTAGCTTTTTCTTAATATACATAATTGGCTTCTTGTGTGCGTTTCTAGACTATTAAGTTGTCAGTTGAGAGGTTTTGACGTTTTTGTTTCCTCCTAGTAGCTATTTTATTAGTAAAGAATTCTATTTTCTTATTGTAGCCTGGTGTGTGCCTTGCCTAGTTTCACTTGATACTCTTCAGGAATTTTGTAGAAAAGAAAAGCTCACATGTAAATCGATTGGAATCACCAAAAGGAATCTAAACAATTATGAGGTGGAGTACTTGTGTGACTACAAGGTAGTAAAGGTAAGGCAATATCTAGCCCCTTGACAGAGACCTGTTCATACTGCACTATTTCATGTTTCTCTAACATAAAAATAGCCTGAAAAATAAGCAAAGCTCTTCTTACTGTTTAAGGTTGTAAGTCATAGATTTTTGTGCATTGTCATCAATTTTTGTCAAGTAACTCTGAAGGGATTTTGAAGTATAAGTGCTCTTACATTAGAATATTTAGGGTATTTATATCATTTTACATCCAACTCTTGATTATCTCCTTATGGATTACCAGAGCAAATGTTTTATGTCAGATGGACTTTTCCTATAATTCATGCTGTTCCTGGATCGTATTTCCCACAATCACCTGGAAGGAACCTGAGGTTTCAAGCCAGCTGTAGATTTACTGAATGTCCTCCAGAAGCATCACCATTTATATTTTCTGCCATCCTGTCAAGCTCTGTGTTACAAGTTACGGTGTGATAAAATGGGCTGGCTTTCATGATCATTTCAAGTCTTTATTTCATATCTTCAACTTCGGCAGCTAATATAATTGCTTTGTGCTTCCCTTTATTCATCTTAAAATGTGTTATTCTAAGAAGCTCTTTGATCCAAACCCTGTTATATTTTTGGTAATTCATTTGCTTGTAGCTTTCTACTGGCCATTAATCTCAGTTCTTGCAGATACACAATCAAGAATCTATTTAATGTGATTTTTCCATCTCTGCTGAGCCCCTCAGTAAGTCCATTTCTTCCTTTGAATGCCTGTCTTCCTGTGGTATCAGTTGCCTTCCCCATGTGGAGATCTTAGTCAAGCTTCCATCTCTACCAGCACCTGACCCCTGAAAGCCCTAACCATGTGCCATGGTTTAGAAGCCCTAGCCTGATCAGCCAGGCTGAGATATCACCTGATCATATGCAGTAGCTCCATTAGAACATACGTTTAAGCCGTGCCTGGTGGCACAAACCTGTAATCCCAGCTACTAGGAAGCCTCACAGCAAGTTCAGGCCCATCCTGTGCAACTTCGACTCCTTCCAGTCCATTCCTGAAAAGGTTGTTAAAGGAAACTAAAGCTCAGTGCAGAGCATGTGCCTGGCATTCATAAAGCTCCAGCAATCCCCACACCCTGGAAAGAAATACCAAACAAACCCAACTTTTCTCTGCTCATTGTTTAGTTCTACTTGACAAGATTTTTACCTGTTTCTTTTTGTTTTCTTGTATCAGCGGTTTTCCCAATATTTAGTATGTTTTGGACCTTTTCCTCTGCTCTTGTTTTCTCCTATTCAACTGAAGAATTGCCTCGCCTTCTGCCTCTATGAATTTAAGCCTTTAGCATTCAGTCTTTGTTCACCATGAGTTATCTCTATCTTTAGTCTTTCAAAGGTGTCACCGTGTTTTCCTGGTGACTCCCCCAGGACTTTACTTGAACTTGCGGTTTCTTTTTAATTAATTTAGATGGGTTTTCTATTTAGTCCCAGGCTGGCCTTGAACTCACAGCCATCATGCTCTGGCCTCTTTAGTGCTGAATAAAATACATTTTCCAGCTTTGTGTCTTTTAAATATTAAACTCTTCTTTTCACTCATTTGTTTCAGTATTATTCACATCTTCTCTAACCTTTGGCCTCCCCTCTCTACTCACACAGGTATTTTCTTGTATATTCTTTCCTATTTCATTAAAAAAACTTTTATTGTGATAAAATTTGCTTAAAGTGTTCAGTTCAAATCTTAGTATATTCTCAGAGTCAGTTTTAGAACCTTTTTCATTGCTCTAAATTTTTTTATTTTTATTTTTATTTTACTGTCTAAATTTCAACTACCAGCCCTAAGCAACTGCCAACTATTTTCTACTTCTGTTGAGTTGTGTGCCCCTTCTTCTTCCTCCCTCCTCAAGATCTGTGCACCAGAGAAGGACCTCAGATGTCCTGCTCTGTCACTGCCAGATTGCTTTGAGACTGGGTTGCTAGCTAAACTTTGGGCTATGCTGGTAGGCAGCAAGCCTCAGTGATGAGCCTATTTCTGACCCCAGTAGCACTGGGATTACAGGTGCATGTGGTTTCTGCTGATGTTTTATGATTGCTAGGACTTGAACTCATGACCTCATCCTTATGGAGCAAGTGCTCTTACACTGTGATCCATCTCATCCCAGTTGTTTCCGTCTGGGGGCTATTATAATTAATACTGTTATGGATGCTCATATGCTAGTTTTTGTATGGGCATTGTTTTCTTTTCTCTTGCAGTGGAATTGCTAGGTCATGAAATATTCTTGTTTAACTCTTTTGGGAACTGCCAAGCTTTTCCAGAACTCAGCACCATTTTAATTACATATCATTCGAGTATAAGAGTTTTAGTTTCTATGTAGCTATGCTTGTGAGAAGTGCATCTCATTTTGGGTTATATTTATATTTCTCTAGAGATTAGTGATGTCCAACATGTTTTTATCATGCTCTTACTGGACATTTGTATCTGTTGTAGTGACCTAATTATTCAGATCCTTTGCTTATTCTAAAAATACTGTATTTATTTACTTACTTATTTGTGTGTGTGTGTGTGTGTGTGTGTGTGTGTGCGTGTGCATGGGTGTGTAGTGCCTGCACATGTATGTGAATGCTTCTGTGGGCACATGTGGAAGCCAGAAAAAGTCTGTCCATCTTAGCCTTCCTTATTCTTTTAAGACAGAATCTCTCATTGAGCCAGATACATTTCATTTGGGCTAAGCTGAGTGGTCACTGAACTCCCAGAATCTGCCTCTCTGTACTTCCAACACTAGAATTGCAGGTCCATGCAGCAATGTCCAGGTTTTGTTTTGGGGGGAAGACACGTACTGGGGATTTGAACTCAAGTCCTTATACTTTGCATACCAGGTGCTGTTACCTACTGAGCCATCTCTGCAGGTCTCCCATCCCTTGCTCAGTTTTTAAAGTTGTATTCTATTAAGTTACTTAGTTATATATTATACATACAAATCCCTTGTCAGATATATAATTTATATTTATTTTATCTTGTTAATTTTCTTTTAACTTTTTAGCCCATTTTATTCCAATTTGTGTGTCCCTATCACCACCTATTGTCAAGTTTTAAGACCTTAAAGTTTTCTGGACTAGTTTGTTACATTTACTGTGGTTGGTTTTCTTCTTTGAGACTCTCTTGTCTATGGAAGACTGCCTAGGTGTAATCTTTAGCAACTTAGCATCTCTGTCCTCCAGTTTCTTTATGAAATAAGGGTAGCGACAACACCACCAACAATTAATTATAGTGCATAATTAATATTAAATGGATTAATACTGACTTTTTTTTACAATAGATGTTGACATTTAACAATTCAATGGCATTTTACGGTTAGGGCTATTTATTTTTATGCTATGTACATGTGCCCAAGTGTATGTATGTGCATGATCATGCAGGTAGGTGCCTATGGGAGGCAGAGGATGCCAGATCCCTTGGAAGTGGAGTTACATGTAGTTGTGAACCACTTGATCTGGGTTCTGGGAACTGAACCCAGATTCTCTGCAAGAGCAGCAAGTGCTCTTGATATGAGCCATCTCTGTAACTCCTCATTGTTAATCTTGTCACCAACCCCCCAATCTATTTTTCAATGCTCTTCACACTCTCTTTGCTTCTCATCTTTTTCCTTTAATGTAGATTACTTCTTGGTCCTCTTCTCACTTAGAAGCTGCTCTCTAGGTAACCTTCTTTAGCATTTTTTATTGGGAATATGCTAACTCATAATAATTAGTGAGATGACTGTACTCAGAGCCGCGTACTAAGTTCCTGTACAAAGTACTTAATTACAGTGAAGTTAAGTGTTGGCATAATAGAAGGACCTGTTGTGCAGAGACTGGGCAGTTATCTATGGAAAACATGTTTTGAAATGAAAAGATAAGGGGGTGGGATCCTGATACAGAAGACAGCCCAACTCCTTCAAGGAATAGAAAATATGGATAGAACATTGGCATAGTTAAGATGAGCTAGAAGGAGTGCAACTCTTTACAGGCAAAAGGACTTTAGGCTTCTTCTTGAGGGAAGCCCAGAACCATGGGGTCTTTTAAAGTACAGAAATGGCATGATGAGAACATTACTATACTGTCAAGTCTTCAATGGGTAGAGCAGTTAAAGCAAAACAGATGAAAAAGAGCAGGAGGACTGGATGAAGAATCCTGTGGAGTAAGGTTTGTGCCATTAACTGCAAGAAAGATAACAGGAATCTGGAGGTGTAACTAATGGGAGCTGAAAGAAGAGATAGTAAGAGAGCACTGAGCAGTTGATGAAAGAGAAATCTGTGAAGAATATACTGAAGTTAGCAGTCAAAGGGCTATTCATGCCCTGCAAGTGGTTTCTATATTGTCATGAACAGAAGAGCCAAAAGAACAATGTGAAGAATAAGTAGGAGGTATAAAAACAGAGTCAAGTAGTATGAACTCTCAAAGCATCCTACTCTTGGATAGAAAAAATGGTATAATGGCGTTTATAGTTTTAAAGTTGTGTTAAAAATTGAGTCATAGTTGTATGCTTTAAAACTTTTTTAATGTTCTAAAGAGCTATATGCTAAAATATACTCTATGACCTCAGAGATTCCTTAGCTATGCAAACATATGTCCAAGAAGCTTGGTTTTATGTTGCTTTTGAAAAATGGGAGGTGTTTAAATGTTACTTAGAACTAGTAGTGAGGCAGAAACCAAAGAGTTGGACATTAAAGAATAATTGATAAAGTACATCTCTTCTATTATAGCTACATTGACTACAGTTTATCTGTAGGATACTGGCAGTTAGGAACGAGGGCCAAATGAAGAAATTAGTGGGATAGAAGACCTTGAACCTAGAGCAATATGAAGTAACCAGCTTGAGAAATGGGAAAATGCCATCTGATGTCACTCAATGGTATAGATGAACTCAATGTAGATTGTAGTGGGTTTATTTCAAGTGCTGTATCATTTTTCTGCAGCAATGTTATTTATTGCCTGCCATATTGCTCCTTCATACAGAATAATTGAGAATAATACTCTGGGTGCTTAACATACTTTTCAAGGACAAACAG